CTTATTGTTGGCTCAAAGTGAACGCTGCAGAGCTACGCTCCCTTGGGACCAGTACTAGTAGCTATCGTTTAGCCCTTTATTTACCAGTTCCGCCGTATCAATGGCGGTTGAGTTCCCGGCTGTGGACACTTTTAGAAACGGGTCCACAGCACAAACATCCACTTTCACACCCTATGTAAGCCGAGAGGTCCTAGTGGAAATTCGTCCGACTGGTACTCACTAGTCTGCAGGTAATGCAGTAAATCCAAAGGTGTCAGTTGGGAAAAGGAAATGGGTTACCTATAAAAGTGATGGAAGGCTCAAGCATTCTAGGAAGAACCATCTTGAAGTCAAATCCTTTATATAAGTACATATTTAAAAGCTTGACACCTTTACATTAAGGCTAGGCGGTGGTTACATCCCTTTTGAAAATCAGCTCAGCCTATGGAAATGCCAAATCGAATCTTGCCAAGTCCAACCAGAATTTCCATTCCTCAGACAGGCAAATTGGCAGCTTGAGAGGAAATGGATGCTGAAAAACAGGTACAGCGGGCTGTTTACTTTAAATCATGGATAAGAGCGAGCAAATATTCAAATGATTCAGCGATTCCACATGGAACCTGAAGGCGTGGCGCATCAACGACGTATTTAATACTACACCCTAAGGAGTGTATTCCGTCGAACCCGTAGCCTTTATGTATGATAACTCAAAGCAGCTAGGGAGCTGCGTGGCTCTTTTGCGAATCAGATGATTTTAGGCCCGATTCGGGAACTTTCACGTAGTCCCAGGCATAACATTAGAATAGCAACTTCTGGGAAAGAATTCCCAGTTCACCCAGAAGTGCAGCATCTGGGAAATTGCACGAAGCACAACAATTCCTTTCCTTGAACACGATTTCTGAGGATTAAAACGAAATTATGGGATCCTAGGGCTTCACGGGAAAAGATTGCAATAATGGGAACAATTTCCGATCGACCACCATTTGGCTATGGAACTAAGGAAGCGTTTTCCGATCCTAGTCTATTCTCTAAGCCACAATTATATGTCAGATCTATAATTAGGATAATTGTTCAGTGGAAACCATCAATTACATGGGACAGTCTCTCCAGTAACAATTTCTTCTATTTTAAAACTACTAACTACTAAACTAAACTAAAACTTGAATTCGAAATAAGTGGGCATTGAAGAGAATTAAATTCAAAAAAATTTAAAATTCAGGGGAAGTATGAACTTTAGGAGAATTTAGAGTACGGATGGCACTTCCAAAGTAGAGTTTTCAGGAAAATCTATCTTGGAAATGAAATAAAACGTTTTGAGCAACAGTTATAGAGAGGCTTTAGATCAGGATTTTGAGGCTGATGTGTGCCAGCCTGAGCTTGGGACGATTCGAAGGGTATATTTGCATATTCATAGGATCCCAAAAAGCTTTTCAGAAATAAATATTTGCTTCCGTAATCAAGTTCTCGACTAGTTGATCATCCATTTATTCGATTAGTACGGCCTGACCAGTTATCCATGGTACTGTTTGCTTCTTTACATACTCGGATCGGATAGGATTGAACTTAAAAATCAAAGTTCTAGCCTAGTAGATTTGATTTGTGGCCGAAGGCACGAGAGTACCAACAAGTTTCTGGGGCGCTATGACTCTCTATGTCTTTGAGAATTTACCCGAGGACGAAACGATGCCCAGATAAGTGAATAGATTGGAACTTCCAGATTTGATGGACCAGTTTTATGAATAGTCAAATTATTTTGGGACTGGTCCCAATAGGACATGAAAAAGGTAGCGTTGTAGCAGACGAAAGAAACAGACGGATCAAGTGGTGAGGGGGAATTTTGAAAGCCTTTGTTTGGGTCCTGCAACCTGACTAGGGTTGACTCGGCAATTCCTTTTTACTCTGACAACAAGGATGGGGGTAAGCTAAAGCCGGCCACATGGTGTGACTCAGGTTTCAGCACAAAATATTTTTCAGTAGCCTGACTCCTGACTCCAGTAGCCGAAAAACATCCCGTGAACCGTGCCCTCATTCCTGATAGGGCTTTTCTCTTCATCTCCCAAATCTGGACCGTATTCTACTCACTACTATTTGCAAGAGTTCCTCCCCATCCACTCCTAGAAACTTCGACCTATCAAGGAACCCAAAATCATGAATCCTCAAAGCATCTCAGAATGAAGAGAACTAAAAGCTGAAACAAACAGCAAACAAATTCAGCTACGATAGAGAGTCTCGAGTTCGGCAAAATCGAACCCAATGACCCTGTACGGCCAGATCAGTTTCTGGGGCCGCAATCCCAACCAATTAACCTTGAATTTGTGACGGTAACCGAAATCCATAGTGCACTTACAGTAAATACATACGGTAGGGCAATTAAGATGGAAAAAATAGTAAATAGTGGTGAAGACAGTTCAATTGAACTGACAGAAATGTCAACGTAGGCAAACAGAAGCCGAGTTGGTGACAGTCGACATTTGACGTCTTCTTGAATGTTTCTGTGCGCAATTTTGTACGTAGGAAACGTCTTATGGTAGGTGTTTCTTCACCAAAACTTGTTTTTGAAATTTCCAACTCGATCGCTACCGTAATCTTCCATGGGCAGCTAGATATGTACTATGTTACATGGGAGTATAAATCGGTTGAACATCTGGCGCTTAGAGCATTTATACTTCTTCTCAACTTGGCTCTACTTGGTACGGAATCTCACGACTATAAGACTAACGAGTGATGATTAGCTTATAAAAGACAGTAAAGTACGTTTTCAATGTTACTCAGGAATACCAACTTAAAGAAGATCATCAAAGAAACAGGGAAAGTAGAAATGGGAATTATGGCTCAGGTTTTTATTTTACACTAATTTCACTCAAACCAATTAAAAACCTTTTTTATATAAAACTTCCACCGAGTAGTAAGGAAGGAACCCGATAAATCTCCTGCAAGATCAATGATGAAAGAAGAAGGTAACTGAATAAAGTACTGCTAGTACTGAGTTTTCGAAAAATCATGTGCCAGCATATAAAAAGAATATGAACGTGAGAGTGAGAAAAGAGATAAAGGAGGGGAAAATTCGAAGATAGAAGGGTCTCGAAAAAATTATCATCAACATGATATGGGGCACAGAAATCGATGATGTAGGTCTAACTGAGGTTGTAGTTTGATCAGGCACAGATCTAATGCACTTTTCATGGTCATATTTTCACATTCTTAAAAGGATTCTATTAGGATATGCCATAGTAAGCGACGTAAGCGACTACAGCAGTAATATGCAGTATAAACGAGCCAGCGGAGGAAGTCAACGGAAAGAAAATCTTCGTTCGATGTAGATGGAATACGCCGAAAATTTTCAGCAGCCTCCCCCTACTTGAACCTATATGACCATGGGATTTTGAGAGAAGTCGAATATTTCGGTATTGAAACAGGTGCGACGAAAAATTGAGGAGAAACCGAACGTCACCTACCGGACAACAACCGCATTGATCGAGTACGGTATGCTCGCATTGTGGTTCCTGACACACTGTCGTACAACGTTCTGGACAGTCGTGCCCATGCAGCAGGACCTGATGGTCCTGTGCCAGCACTGCTGCGGCTGACGCTAGCGCCGCCGCCGCCGCCGCCAGCCACCAGAGCAGCATCTATCGCCTCTAGAGTCGTCCCAGCGCCGACATTCGTCGACACTCACTCTCGCCACTCTGCGTCTCTGACCGCGGCCCGTTTCTCGCCTGCACTCTCCTCTCCGGCTGTACTGTCTCTCACTGGTCCCGCCCACTTGTGGCGGTTAGATTCAGATCGACAGAGTCGACAGTACACGAGACAGGGCACGGTAGTCAGCTGGAAATGGTAACATTAGAAAGTGGAAACAAACATGATAACACATTGGACGTGCCTACACAAATTCCGCGATACAGTACGACGAATTCATTTGAACAAAGCAAGAGGCGAGAGGAAGACACGAGTGGAAAGGAAGTAGTATAAAAGATCAAATTAGAAGGAATCCAACCTGGGGAAATTTCATTTTGACAGCGAAAACTGGGACTGAAGCGATTTGTCGTGAATTCATGAAGAATTTCTTAATGAACTTGGAACAGCTATACTGCGTGGAACTAGTTTCTCACATTAGGTGGCAATGAGTCCTTTTCAATTACAGTAGAAAAACTCGCAAATGATTGATTTTCATCAGGACTACCACCATTAAACAGTAAATTAGGAACTATCATTCAATACTTCCTGAAGGGTTTCACCTCTAAAAAATCTGAGTCACGCATTCCATTCCTATTTTAGATTGCTAAGATAAGTAATGGCTTGAGTAAGAACGATCGTTCAGGGCGGAAGGAGGGAAGGAACTGATTCCGGCTGTAAAATATTCCTTAACACATTAAAACGTTAGACAGTTTTATAGGTGAAGAAAGATGGAAAAGTACTGGACACAGAGACGGCACGCTAGGAATCATTTCAACAAAAAAGCACTTTTAGTATGCGCCATGCATCGGGCAGTGAATTTACTATCAGAACGCCCGGTTCAATACAATAAGACTTTATTCAAGAGTACGCAGCACAGCACTAGCACATAGGGTCCTCCTAAATAGGTTCAAAGTCTGCAGTATCGATGGCTCGAAGTCGGAGAGTATGGATACGGATATGATGTACGAACAGATCGGTATTTGGAATAGCTGCCGATTGTATTGTGAACCTTTCAGCCCCTATTCAAACACCTTTCCGATCCCTTCTGAGTTGAATACATGGTGCATCTACAACCGACGGCAGTTCCGTCACTATTACCCTGCAACGAATTAATAGTGCATTTATTCATTGTAGCACTGCCTATTCATGCACCAATTTGAAGAAAAAACAAAGCTTTCGCGTTTTTTTCAGTGAACGGTTGTGTAAACTCGGAACCACGCTGAGTCCTGCACGGAAATAAGATATTTTCCATTTCGATTGCATGAATAATGACTGCGATGACTACAGTAGGCGTGTAGAATGACTCGTCACGTCGAATCAAAAGAATAGATTTTTCTTTGCTTCTGTAAATAAGATGACAATACACTGGGCTTTTCATACAAGCTCGAGTGGACACGAAGAATGGTACAGCCTGCAATGAACCCCCACAGCCTTTTCCTAAGTTCAAAAAGATGTACGAAATATAAAATCTTGAACATACTCTATACTAGATAAAACGTATGAGGTTTCCCCCTCTCCCACTTGTTCATACCTTGGCTGGTTTCTGATTTATTGCAAAGTGTAAACGTATGGAGGCACTAAAGGCATGACTTTCCTGCAGTGATGATTTTGGCGACTTATTTCGGTTCCCCCGTTCCAGGCACCTTTCAGTGCCCATAAGAACAAGATGATATGTTCCAAAAGGTTGGAGATGAAAATGTTTCAAGAACTGTTCAAGCTCTGCTGTGAAAAGACCAAGAAACTCTAATTATGCACCTACGCAGAAATATTTTTTGATTCTAGGGATTATATAATAGAAGTTCTTTTGATCCTTCTCCAACTGCAACAATTTCAAAGAGACCGACTAGTTCATACATACATGTTATGGCAAATCGATGACTTTCCAGGATGTAGTAGATTGATTACACATAAATTTGTAGGTTCTACTTACCCTCACGGTCATACTCTGCCATTGCCTAGAGCTTCCAGTGAAGTGGTGAGATCTTTTCAAACATTTTCGAATTTCACTGGAAATCAACCAAACGGCGCATTACCAAGGACCTGCTGGGCGCTAGTTATAGTTCCTTCATGCTATGCTTTCTAAGGTACACAGCAACAAAAATACGAGCTGGACTCAATCACTATTCGACTCAGAAACCAGACGCACTCCAGAACTTCGTCATAGAAGAAAAAAGCGAAGGCGTAGGGACAGAAAACATAAAAAGTTATTAGAGCTACGTACGGCAAATGTGGGAGGGTCTTTCACAAGCCTCAGCAATCGATGCACTCAGTACACTCAGTCATGGCATATGCAGAACCAAATAACGACATAGACCAGATAACAAGTTTCTGAGTTGTAGGATGGAAGAGTTCGTCCAATTCTATGATCAGATGTTACCGATCTTACTGATACTCATTCATATGCCACCTTCTCCCTTCCTTGAGAACGTCACTCGTCCGAAAACTGAGCGTGAATGGCTCTGACTTGTGATTTTTTAACGTCCCAATCCGAAAAAACTCTTCTGTTTTCATAGAAACAAATGCCTGGTGGCCCTCATAGTTGTTTTACAGCCTTAAGTCTCTTTCAGTGCAATCTCTGCTTTCGATTATCAGCTCATGCTTGGAGGTCTTTCATGATTTCTCCGAATTTGAAAAACTTCTGGGGATTAATTCCGTTCTGTTCTATTTCGAGGACATTTCTTTTTCAAAAGTCTACGAGCCATAGTTGAATTTCGCCTCCTTTAAATCTACTGATAAGAACACAGTTGAAAAGTATAAACACTGTTGCATAAATCCCGAAACTGTTCACTTTTCTTCAAGAGAAAACATTTTGTAATCAAAAAACAATAATAACGATCAGCTGATAACAACGACAATAAATTGCCATAACTGCGTGGAAATTTCAGGAATTTGAGCATAAATAAGGCAGACAGAGTAGGCGAATGAGACAGAGACAAGTATTCTGGATTCTTCGAATCGTTTTGTAAGCAGTAAGCTATTATGAAACAAAAATGCCTAGCGATAAGAATGGCATTTCAAGCCGTTCAGTTGATTGACGTATGGCCTCAAATCATGCAACGTCCAAACACAAAACAAATGAATCATTTGAAGCTGATGAATGGGGAGGCGAGAACAGGAAATGGAGGCGTTGAGTTTTGGCCTCGAACACTTCTATTTCTATCCAACAGAAAAAATGGGACCATAAATTTTGCTCTGAAGTAGTTTGTGCATGAGTATAGGTACAGTTCAGTGACGAATTTGTAAGGCCAACGAGGGAAGTTCCCTCTCATCACGATCGGGATTTGAATTGGGTAAATACCAATGATGTAAATATCAGCTGATCCAATCAATAAGTTGTGGGCAGCACATATGTCTCATAGTGCTTGCAAGGCCGAGCCAAAGTCGATCGCATGGCGTAGCCTGAACAGGTTCTGTTGGTGGGCAAAACCTAAGCTTGAGGATAACTTTTGCATGATGAAGAGGTCTCATTTCGGGGTGGCAAAAAACAGCTCTGCACAATTCCCCTACAGCCCACACTTGTTAAAAAGTCTCATGGGATAAGTTCAATTGAGTGGTGTCGAAAAAGACAAATCTTCAACAATGAAAGTGGTTCGTTAGGTTCGAAAAATATGGAGGCTATCAAAACGACAAATCACGTTCGCTTTGTTAAGAACTTGACGGAATGAGGTCAGGTGAGTAAGATGTGGGAGAAAACAATGGAGAATAATAATTAGCGAACAAAGAACTTCACGTAGCTCATTCGCTGTCAAAAAGTTACTGCAGTACAAGATTCTCAGCAGACAGAACACATTCAGATACACAAGAATAATTTCCAACGGTAGATTCCGTCAGATCATGCCTTATGAGAAAATATCATGTCGAATAAAACGCATGGCGCCATCTTTCGAGTTCACAAATTTATTGGGTTCTTCTATTACGGAAGATTCAAATTTATTGGGCATCGAGGTGGGGGGAAGGGATCGATGTATAGAACAGGAAGAGGACTTTTGATTGAAGTGTATTCAGCTTTTTCAATTTTAAGTCTACAAACATTTCGGACATTTAGGAGTAAAACGTTGCAACGGAAGGAAAAGCAAAGCGTTGCAACATTGCAACGAAAAGCAAAAACTAGAAACCCCCAACATCGAACAGCCATTGTATTAGGATCAAACAATGAAATAAAGAAAGTTGACTCATTCCCCCAGGATGCGCCATGAAGAAAGAAAAGGGCAGGTTGCAAACAACCAAGGGACGAACGGTTTTCAGCTAACACGGAGGAGTATGAATTCATAGAAACAAGTCCAAGGTTCGTCTAGATACATTGCCATTGAGAAATTCCTTCGATTACTACCTGGGAGTACTCTTACAACTTGTTTAACCCCTTTTTTCACAGAGGTTGCGGAAGGGGTTGGGACTTCAACACTAGGACCACTTGACCGGAGTAAACCGCTACTACTATCACTAATATTGCGATAATTTCGAAAGTCTGTCCTAGATAAATTTTGACTACCGTAATACGCATGACCTACATACTGCATCAACATGTTCCCCAACTTCCTGGAAAAGTGGGGAAAATTAATTTTGCCTTTTGAACTTGTACATTTTACAAATATCATTGTTTCATTCATGAATTTTTATGCATGTGTCACATAAAAAAAGAGGCGACAACAAATTTCTTTGTCAACGATCCACCGATGAGGGCGGTATAACTAAATTAAATTTCCTATTACTATTATATATTAATTGAAAGCTTTCAAATTCAGCATCACATTGACACTACCTAGTATAAATTAGATTTTCCTTCGAAAAACAGAAAGTGGCACTACGCTAGTACGATATTCATTATGGGAACACTGTTCAGAGCATTTACTAGGTGACAGTACCAGTCATCGAAGCAACTGTTTCAATAGAACATCAGTTCATATGGCATCTATTGACTTTGGGGATTTTGCATTTATTAATCGATTAGATTTCG